GGGGGGGGGGGGGGGGGGAGGAGCGGTACCTCTTCCGCCATCTGACTCGTACCAGCCTTCTCCATCTGCTGGAAACAGGCCAGTATATGCCAAAGTAGCATCACTGAAACCGGTGGGCAAATCCTAAATATAGAACGCATAGAGAAAGGACCTGTCTTCTCTCTCAAGCAACTGGTTCACTTTTACCCAGCATCCCTCAAACCGAACTACTCTTGGAGAGGTTCACAAAGACGGTGGAACTACATAATAGAAATTTAACTTAGTATAATTCCTTTTATTTTATTTTCTTTTATTCTTTATTATACCATGACCCTTAAGATTGTGCAATGGAATGTTAGGAGTTTGAAACACAAGATTAATGAGATTGATAGCAGATTTACAGATGCGGACATTCTTATTTTGTCGGAAACATGGTTATCCCCGGCTGACAATGTTTTAATCAAAGGCTACGATTTGGTGAGAGAGGATAGGAAGGACAAAAGAGGTGGTGGAGTAGCCATTAAGTCTTTGCTCAAATATATCATCGTCAAACCAGATATTAAATACATCGATGCTATAGAAGCGTGTGCGATCAAATTATTTGGTAAGAACGATACGATAGATATTGTTTTTTGTTACCGCCCTTTGGGCGGTTGCATGGTTGACTCTAAGTCATGGATTAAATTTTTGTCTCAATTTCAAGGAAATATATATAATAATAGGAGGAGATTTAAATATTCATTGTCTCTCGTTAGGCAGCTCTTACAGCTGTCCTTCTGGAAGTCAATTTGAGAGTTTCCCTATTGGGAATCTCGATTTGGTAATTTGCAATGACGGAAGACAAACACATGTTAACTTTAATAATGGCTCGGAATCCGTTTTCGACTATACTATGATACAACCGGATCCAGATCTTCAAACAGAATGGTCTTCCATGACCTATGTGGCAGTAGGGATGGGCGATACAATAGAAAATAATATTTTGTATCGATACGTATCGTAAATAAAAATATCGATACACCAAAAATATCGGATAAAATGTAGCGATATTAGTGATATCAATACTGTCGATATCTCTATTATTATTATTATTATTATTAGGTGCATTCTAATTAAATATATA